GGGAATATATCTCTAATATAGACTAGAAAGAATATTGGAGAAACTGGGCTCCCCTGAGGGATACCCGCGTTAATCTCACTAAATTCTTCTATTTGGCCGTCAAAGGCGAGCCTTAGAGATCTATTAGATAGAATCACATCCCAGATTGCTTCCGTATAGAACATCAAAGACATCTGTCATTATCCGGTAAAGGGTTCTGGAGCTTGTTAGGGACCCAGTCCTCCAATAGGTTTTTATATACTTGCATAGTTGCTGCAAAGAACTGCACACTCACTTCATCTTCTGGTTCTGAGTCCGCAAGAATCTGGGGAAGTTCGATTTTGACGAAGTGCTCTGGGATAGAAATGGGACGTCCCATCGTCATACTGAGTGTTCTGAGTAAGTTAGAATAAATTGTGGAATGGTTGGTAATACTTTCCTGTCAAGCATGACACACCCATACCAAGTTCGTTTACGGAACTCTCGTTCTCGAGGCGGATACTGCTGGAGAGCATCCGAAGAGTGCAACCCTAATTGATAAGCTGCCTTCACAGCAAGACCGTGGAGATTCCACGTCTCAATCGAACGTTCCGAACCTTGAAGATACTGGCTCATCAAGAGCAAGAGTTGGACTACATATATACCATCAGACTCAGAGACAAGAAGAGCGGTGGTATCTCTGCTTACCGATCTCGACACTTGTGCCATGCCGTATTTGTCGATCGCAAAGAACCGAAGCGCGGCGAAAGTAGACATTTGACTTGGACGTACGCTCCTGCGCAGATAGCGTTGCATCATAACCTGTATTGGCATTTGTTGCCATTGCAAGAATTACGTTAAGTAAGCCAAGCCATGATCTCCGCACAGAAACCATGTTTGTTGAAGTAAGCTGCCGATAAGTCTGAAGAAAACCGTCTTTGTCGATGTATGGAAAGAGAGTTCCAGTTGAACTAAAGTAAAGCTCTATAAGATGGTGAGTGTCTTGTTGCGGTGGCAGTATGAACGGTTCTGTTCCAATTGAAGCGGCGTCAGAATGATCAGTAAGAATCGGTATCGGAGATGGAGGCCGGGATATGCGCGGGATGTGACTTGTTATAGTGTATTCTTCAGGTGATATTGGACCACCCATTGATGCAGCCTTTTTCAGGATCGCAGTTGTTAATGTAACGATACGACGTGTGAACGCAATGTTAGAGGATGGTCCTAAGCACTCAGTTAGTCACTTGAAACGCAACATTCCAGAAATGGTGTTGCTACCAAAGAATCGCAAGTCTTCTTCATCTGTAAAAATCATTGAGCCCATTCCATCAGTCGGATCTTCAAGTTCAGCTAAAGTTCTTGCACTATCCTCCGCCTGCGAAAGTGGGAGATCACTAGGGATTCCAGATGCATGCGATACGGAGGATATATGTGTAGTTCCCTTGTTCTGGAGATCTTCGATCTTGTTTACTCTGGTAGACATTCCAGTAAAACCATTTTCGAGACGTGTGAGCCGAGCTTCGAGTGCTTCTATAAGTCTACAAGTGAGTCAGCTTGGAATGACTGCTGATAACGCCGTACTCTTCGTTAGTAGGAGGCTAACCCTTTGGAAACAGAGTTCTTAGTAAGAGTGCTTGTATTTGAATATGCGCATTCTAGGCTGTAATCTTTGCAAACGGAACATTTTGGTCGTAAGCCATCACACTATGCAAACCACTTAGCAATTATCAATGGTGATGAGGTAAGGCCAAGGCCCGAAACCATTAAAATGTCTAGCTTATGAGCCCAGACACACGGTGCTTTCACTTACACGCGATTTGCGCTGTCGGCAATTTGTGCATGCAATGGTTGCCCTGTTCCTCTTTGCCCGCCTTGTTGCAGCACTTTCATCGGCTCGTGTCGCGACATCGTTTGGGCGGTGATCACCACTGAGACCCGGAGATGTCATTGTGCCATGTGGTCGGAATGTCCTCCCGACCTGAGATTTTCAAAGCCGCGAAATACTCAAAGATGATTCTTAATCGGTCAATGTGTTACAAGCGCACGCCGCGGAATTAAAAAATAAAGGTGCCTGGTTCACCTCATGAGAGATGAGTGCCCCGCATTTCGTCCACACAACAGTGCCGGCACGTCCGAGATCTTCCGCTAATCCGTCGGACCGAAATTGCTTAACTCCCCGCGAACTACTACAGACTGGAAATGCCTACGCAGCTCTGGTACCTATTATGTGATAGTAATCGATCGATCAATTTCTAACTCCGAATTTCTGTGATATCTTATTAGTTTAAAGAATGCCGGTCTTCCTGCATGACGATAAAACTCACAGCGCTTGTAGTACAGAGAGATCTTCCACGGTCGAATACGAAAGACTTTTACCTTCTGTCCAGTTCTAAATATGTTGGTTTCATGGACCAGATTAATCCGCTTCGTGGCTACTGATGGCCGAGTGCTACGTGGCGAGCCGATTCTTCCCAATCCGAATTTTGACTTGGGTCAAACAGATGAAAAGACCAAGCTACAGGCAAAAGTGATCATTGGAGATGATATCTACGATACCACCGGCAAAACTAGAGTGTCTGATGAGGTTGTCACAGTAAAAACACTGCTAGGCCCTCTCGAGCGGAATGACGTTGACATTCTCCGCTGCGTTGGCCTAAACTATGCAAGACATAGTAAGTAAAACTCAAACTATACAACCTCCCTACTTCTCAATATTGTATCCTCGGCTAATGAGAGAATTAAGTACAAGAAGCTGGAAGAAGTCCTCCACCGTTCCCTTTTATCTTCTTCAAGCCCAATACATGCATTCATGATTTTGGCGCTGATGTTGTTATCCCAAAGATTGCGCAGGATGATCAAGCTGACTACGAAGGTGAGCTTGTTCTAGTTATTGGCAAGGATGCGAAAGATGTTAATCTTGATGATGCTCTGGATTACGTGGCTGCATATACAGCCGGCAACGACATCTCTTCGCGCAAACTTCAGCACGATCCAAAGCTGGCCGGGGTAGTGCCTCAGTGGGGTTTCTCGAAAGGCTTTGATACGTTTGCTCCTCTAGGTCCTGTTCTAGTAAGACCTGACCTGATTGGAGATTATAAGGAATTGCTGCTGCAGACAATAGTAGATGGCGATATCAGACAAAAGGAGTCTCTGAGTGATCTGCTGTTTGACTGTAGATATCTCATCTATTACTTGTCTCAAGGCACAACCTTGTGCAAAGGTTCAGTGATTATGACGGGAACTCCGGGAGGTACGTTGTCAATTTTATACTGAACGTTCCGAGTACTGAAATTGATTGGTTTTAGCTGTAGGTGCCAGTCTGAAACCTCCAAAGTATCTTGTCCCTGGCACGATCATGGAGGTCGTGATTAGTAAGATCGGAACTCTGAAGAACGTTGTACAATTTGCATAGGGAACTTGTTCGAGCTTTAGTGATTGATTGTATTCGAGACTGGAATATAGATTTCGCTATAGTATATGGAAAAAGTACTTTATTTTTTGGCCAAATGATGTATTAGTGAGAAGTTATTGCAATGTGAGCTTTCTATTCAACTCAAATGTGTATACTTATGACTAGATCTCAATCGGAATTCGATTTTGATGTTACTACAGTACATAGGTTTCCAATCAACTAAATGCCAGGGCCTCGATATCCTCATTGTTTGTCCTGTAGAAGCCTAACGACTTGAGCATCGGCTGGTCATGGCATACGTATAGATAGACAGTGCCTTTATCGCTGGCATAATGCTGGTATTCGTGCCATGCTGGAATGCAGAATGTATCACCTTGCTGCCAGGTGTATTCCTTCCCTGCTATCAAAGACTTTCCTCTGCCTTCGATGACATGCACCATGGCTGAAGCGGTCTCTTGAATCGCTTTGGTTGACTTTCCAGCTGATACACGGATAGCAGCTGCACCTAAAGTGCAGCTAACTGTGTCGTGGATCAGTATTGTTCTCTAAACCTTATGAATCATGGAAAGATTGAGACATACTTTCGGATCCATCGGGCTTTAGATATCTCTCCATATTGTAATCTTCGCATTTAGCGTCTAGTAGAGTTTTCATGGGCTCCCATGGGAAAACTATCGGAGAAGTGCTGGAGTCGGCGTCTGTCGCTGGATACCGTGGGTCGGCATAGTGTTCCACGAAATGAACTGGATAATGGACAAAGCTAGGAAGGTCTAGACCATCTAGCCAAATCATTGGTCCAGAGCCGTCTTTGCCATGGTCGTGCCAGTTCCAAGTAGGGGTCAGGATAACATCTCCGCGCCGCATCTGGATCCTCTGGCCGTGTACTGCAGTAAATCCACCTTCCCCTTCGATGATAAAACGACATGCAAATGCAGTATGTCGATGCGCTGGCGCTGTTTCGTTTGGCATAACAAGTTGAAGACCCCCATAAATCGTGTCAGTGGTGTAAGGAGCATCTATGGGTAATTAGCGGCACACTTTCTCGATTAATGGAGCAATCCGAGTAGTACCTCTGGATGGATTCACAAGCATCAGCACTCTGCGTTCGGCATGTTGTTCAGTAATGAGCTCTCCAGCTTGAAGAAGATCTGGACAAATCTTCTCGTACTCCCACACGTGCGGTATACACTTGGGATTAGGTAGAGGAGGGTTCAGGCGAGTCATCTGTGCCCATAGAGGCTTTGTATGCAAACCCTCGACTTTTCTGATTAACTGCTGAGTTACTGTTTCGCAATCGACCAGTTCCTTGGTGTGTTCTCGTTCGGCCGTCATTGTCTTGGTTGAGCTCACTGAGGACTCCATAATTGCTCAGTAGTTGGATCCCTGGGATGGAACGTTGAACAAAGTATCATATTATATCTTAGGAAAGCAGGCTTGGCGCAGATACCCGAGTAATACCACCGGAAACTCTCGGTAACGGCTATTCCGGAATCTTCGTGTGTACAGGCATTGATTAGAATACCTTTTTGATCGTACATTATCTCAGGGTGACGCGAATTTTATGCCGAAATTAACTCCCCAGTCGTCCCTCAAGACCTCTGGATTGTTGAGTCACCTGATGGAATGGACCTGCTTAACTCCCCGCTTTCAATACTTTGCTTAAGTACGCAACTCCCGACTTGCGCACTTCGCTTGATATTGTTGAAGATAGGAAATCTGGTGGCTGGGAACCAGCCACTCGAGTTTCTGCCACATATATACGTTTGCAGTATCCCTATCTTAGTTAGCCAATGAATCCATTATCCAACAGGTTATGAGCCCGGATTTCCACTGCGCAAAAACATACCCCCAATCCCT